GGTGGTGATGATGATGATGGTGATGATGTGGTGGTGATAGTAATGATGGGGATTTTGATGGTGGTGGTGATAGTAATGATGGGGATTTTGATGGTGGTGGTGATGGTAATGATGGGGATTTTGATGGTGGTGGTGATGGTAATGATGGGGATTTTGATGGTGGTGGTGATAGTAATGATGGGGATTTTGATGGTGGTGGTGATAGTAATGATGGGGATTTTGATGGTGGTGGTGATAGTAATGATGGGGATTTTGATGGTGGTGGTGATGGTAATGATGGGGATTTTGATGGTGGTGGTGATGGTAATGATGGGGATTTTGATGGTGATGGTGATGGTGGTGGTGATGGTAATGATGGGGATTTTGATGGTGGTGGTAATGGTAATGATGGGGATTTTGATGGTGATGGTGATGGTAATGATGGGGATTTTGATGGTGGTGGTAATGGTAATGATGGGGATTTTGATGGTGGTGGTGATGGTAATGATGGGGATTTTGATGGTGGTGGTGATAGTAATGATGGGGATTTTGATAGTGATGAGGATGTTGATAATGGTGACGGTGCCATTGAAGGTGATAATGATGAATTTAATCATTGTAATGATGATTATGATGATGGTGAAGATCATGGTGATAGTGATGATGATGATGATGGTGATGGTGAAGATCATGGTGATAGTGATGAGGATGTTGATGGTGATGATGCCTTTGGTAATGATGATGACGATGATATTGAAGATGATTTTTATGATGGTGGTGAGGAATATGATGGGGATGATGAAGATGTTCATGATGATGATGATGGTAATAATGTTGATGATGGTTTTGTAGAGCTGGAGACGGAGCTGCAGCAGAAGCCAAAGACGTCCTGCGTGACGCAGCTGAGCGGCACAAGAAACCTCTGGAAGAACACAGTGGTCCTCTGCGTCAACTCGTGAGTCTCACTTCGACTTGCTCGAGTTCATGATCAGTTTACTGAGGCTTCTCAAACATTTCATTTCTGCATTTGCATTCTACTTGTATTATAGTATTGTATAATACATCAGCGCAGTTTTTTATTTAACCCATTTAATTTCAGTATTTTACATTTAATCAAGTCAGAACTTATTTTTCTAAAAACAAATATGTATTTATTTAAATCATTAAATGACATTGATTTTAAGATTATTTTGATTAATTTACATATTTTGCACTGTTTTCTCTCTAAAACATTTACTCAAATCTACTTCTATTTATTTGATTCTTATATACTTCTCTGCCAATTTCTTCTCTAACAATTTATTGTAATTTAATCAAATTTTTTATTTATATTAATCCAAATTGCATCCTAATTTTCATTCATTCATTTTCTTGTCGGCTTAGTCCCTTTATTAATCCGGGGTCGCCACAGCGGAATGAACCGCCAACTTATCCAGCACGTTTTTACGCAGCGGATGCCCTTCCAGTTGCAACCCATCTCCGGGAAACATCCACACACACATTCACACACACACTCATACACTACGGACAATTTAGCCTACCCAATTCACCTGTACCGCATGTGTTTGGACTGTGGGGGAAACCGGAGCACCCGGAGGAAACCCACGCGAACGCAGGGAGAACATGCAAACTCCACACAGAAACGCCAACTTGAGCTGAGCCGATCTGAGGTTCGACCCAGCGACCTTCTTGCAGTGAGGCGACAGCACTACCCACTGCGCCACTGCATTGCCGCATCCTAATTTTTTTATCTACTATATAATTTTGGGGCTAACACTTTACAATAAACTTGCATGAGTTAATGTTAGATGATGCATTTACTAGCATGAACAAACATAAACAATGCATGCGTTACAGTATTTGTTGATGTAAATACAGTTGTTAGTTCATGTTAACTCACGGGGCATTAACTAATGTTAACAAGCATGATTTAGGACGCTGATAATGCAATACTAAATGCTGAACTAGGAATAATAAGTGCTGTACAGGTATTGATGATAATAAGTTCATGTTAGTAAATACAGTAACTAATGAAACCTTGTAAAGTGTGACCATTTTTTTTTCTTTCACCTCCTCCGTATATCTAACAGGCTGACGGGTTACGGGATCCACCATTGTTTCGTGCGCAGTGTTCTGGAGGACAGCGCGTCTCACCTGCATTATTACGCTCTGGCCGCCATCGCCGTGTCCTCCTGCATGGTGCTGTTTCCCGTGGTGGGAGGATTCGGCAGGAGAGGAGGTCTACTGAGCTTCATGATCATCACAGCGCTGGCGTCGCTCCTGCAGCTCGGCCTGCTCAACCGTACGTACAGACGGACACCAAACACACGTCTGTAGCCCTGTCATGTTGAAAAGTAGAATAAAAATGTTTAATGGAAATGCCACAAACCTGGCAGTAGTCTTGTGGCCTATCCAAGTTTTAGGAGCAACAAATAATAACTGGTCTTCTAGTTGATGATCTGGTGTCAGAAGTGTCTCATATGAAAGGTAAAGGCCTCTAGATTTTGCTGATTTGAGCTCAATAAAATCTGATCATGTCTTGATGTTGACTGATTTGATGAGGACAGTGCGGTCTGACTCTGCTCAGACTAAAGTCTCATCACTGAACAGAAATAATGTCCAGTATAGAATATAAAGTCCTGCTGCAGTGGAGACAGAATGAATATTGTGTCTGACTCCATCACGAGCTTGGAGGACTGCATCCATACATCTCTGACATGACTCAAATCACTGATTAATAAAGTCATCTGGAATGAAGAAGAAAGCGTTCAGCAGGACTCCCAGAGTTCATCAAGAGTCTTTGTGTTCATCTTCAACGCCTCCTCCTTCATCAGCTCAATAATGTTCATGTCTGGTGACTGGGCTGGCCAATCCTGGAGCACTCTCTGCTTTCAGGAGCTTTGATGTGGAGGCTGAAGTATGAGCAGGAGCGCTATCCTGCTGGAGAATTGTCCCTCTCCTGTGGTTTGTAATGTAATGGGCAGCACAAATGTCTCGATACCTCAGGCTGTTGATGTTGATCATCCACTCTGCAGATCTCTCGCACGCCCCCATACTGAATGTAGACCCCAAACCATGATGTCTCCGTCACCAAACTTGACTGATTTCTGTGAGAATCTTGGTGCATGCTGGTTCCATTAGGTCTTCTGCAGTATTGGTGATGATTAATGCAGATCAGCAGATGATTCAGCAGAGAAATCCACCTTCAACACTTCCAAATCATCAACTAGAAGTCGAGTTATTATGTGTTGCTCTTACAACTGAGCTCAATGTCAAGACTTATGTCAGGTAAATAAGTGATGTAAATAAAACCCAAGACCCATGTCTTTCTCCCCCACCCAACCACACACTACACACACCTAAATACAATCAATTCAGAGTGCGCCTCACATAACGAAAAGTCCAGCATCTTCACATTGGCACACTGTCTTGACTAGTGCGGTTGAAGGACACTTGTCCTGGGAGCCCTGTACAAATGTGGCGGCGCTATTGACGCATGCTCAGGGCCCGTATGCAATATCTAGTGTATATATCTATGGTCAAGCTGTTTTAAGGTGTTTGCTAGGCTGTTTCTAGCTAGAAAATATGCTGTTTCCAGGACGTTGCAAAGTCGTTTCTTGGTGGCTGTTTCCTCTTCTGAGGCGCAGCTCATTTATTAGAGGAAAAACTCCACAGTGGAGAATCCCAACAGTGCAGCAGACTCCACGTCTCTGACTGATGTCTGTGCATGTTCATCAGGAAGTGATGATGTGTTCTTCTCTTTCACTCATTGATGGAAAGGCTGCTTTATTCACTGATGTTTTACGCCATATTGCAGTTTTGTGAACAAGACTAATGTGTATTTCTGGATGGAAAGATGATGATGATAACCTCAATCCTCTCTCTCGTCATGCAGTGATCGGGAAGTACAGCATTCGCCACGACGCAGGTACAGCTCAACCAAAACAATCATGTATTACACATTTCCCAAGCAGAGCTTTTGCACTGTTACAGGGCATAAAACACAATCAAATGCATTCAACTATATACAGTAATCATGCAGTGAAACTACAGTGAACAACCCAGCATTCACTGTTCATCTCAGCTCACACTACCTATTTGATATTTAAGTGATGCATTTTGAAAGTCACCAATTGGAAGTCTACACACACACACAGACAGACACACACACACACTCTTTCTTTCACTCACTCAGTCTGTCTTGTGTTGTGTCAGTGTTGAGAGACACCCTGAACCGGCGCTTCTCCTACGCCTTCTCCATCATCGGGATGTTTTCGTCTCATGCCGTCAGCACACTCAGCATCTTCTACTGCGCAGAAATCACACCCACGGTCATCAGGTCAGCATTTGTACATCACCACTGACAGCCTGACAAACACACACACACACACACACACACACACACACACATATATATCAGGGTTCTTACGGGTGCTGGAAATCCTGGAAAATGCTTGGTTTTTAATAGAGTGTTTTCAAGGTTAGAAAAGTGCTTGGATTTTGGACAAAGTGCTTGAATTTGCAGGGGTTGAAATTGTGACTGTTTTGGTTGCATATGCATACAATTTTGTCTATGTGACCTCAAAATATATTTGGGAGCATTTGTGCGAGTGCATAAATTGTTGTCGTGCGACCAGTTTACATTGCAAAATGTTCAGCGCATGCGCGCATTTATGGAGCTAATAATAAGCCAAAACAATCTGATGTTGAATTGTGTTAAATTGAATTATTAACGTTTGTAAGTTAATAATACTGATTATGTCCTGTTAGAAATGTTTTTAATTCGTATTTTTTAACTTGATTATTGAGGCTAAATTGTCCATAGTGTGTGTGTGTGTGTGTTTGAATGTGTGTGTGGATGTTTCCCAGAGATGGGTTGCGGCTGGAAGGGCATCCGCTGCGTAAAAACTTGCTGGATAAGTTGGCGGTTCATTCCGCTGTGGCGACCCCGGATTAATAAAGGGACTAAGCCGACAAGAAAATGAATGAATGAACTTGATTATTGAACTTCTGAAATTTAAGACAACTTAATTTTTTAAGTCAGATTTTTCTAGACATATTTTTAAACCTGAAACGCCAATCCAATCACTGCAAAAAAATAGCAATGCACATGAAATATCATGAACGACTGATCATGAAAGTTCGGGACTACACCCAAACAAAATCTGACTGTAAGATCATTTTAAAAGCGTACTTCATCGAATAACTAAACTTTTTAAAATTTATTTTTTTAATCATTTTGGCTAAACTATCCCAATAAATCTATGCTCTAAAGTGCTCAACAATTTTTTGTTTTTTAAAATAGCACAATGGATTTAAATGTGAAAAAGTACATACAACATATGTAAACGTAATTAACCGTGGTTATTAGGTGCTGGAACAGCATACAATTGCACCTTGAAAGTGCTTGAAAAGTGCTGTAATTTGAAGTTGGAAAAGGTGTAAGAACCCTGATATATATATATCTGGCATTAAACGGCACCTATTTTGCAAAAATCACTTTAGTAAGGGATCTAAGCCAAGTTGTGTGTCAGCAGTGTGTGAGTACATCCATCCTCTAATGGTAAACGTGTATTAATTGTATTGTTTATAATCAGACTTGATCTTATACAATACAATAATTAGATCGAGAAGAGATGAAGGCATGGACAAGCATCTCCATCCATTTGACACAATATCTCTGATTTTTGCGATGTGGCTCAGGTGAAAAAAGCATGTACGAACAATAGATATAACATGGCTATTGAAACACAGAGCTCGATCAAACATGACAGCAAGATTTCTTACATTATTGCAATTCGAAGACGACAAACCCCCCAAAAACTTGCCTGATCATTGGGGTGATGCTATCTGGAGCAAAAATTAGGATCAGTGCCTAAAAGAGTCAGAATCGGAGAGCTAGGAAACATTATTAGTGTGGTATTTTGAGCTGAAACTGAAACACGCACATTAGGGACATCAGAGACTTATTTTACATCCTGTAACAAGGGGGCAGAATAGGTGACCTTTAAAGGCACAGTTCACACTAAAACTAAAATTCTGTCATCATCAACTCTCCCCTCACTTGTTCAAAACCTCTTAGAGTTTCTTTCTTCTGTTGAATACAAAAGAAGATGTTGCTGGCACACATACTATGGCATACTATCCACCCTAAATAGTATTGGAAAATAGAATTAGCGCATGCCAAATCGTAGTATGCTGAAATTTTTATGCCAATGTGTTCTGGTTAGTCTGCTATTTCTGGTGGAAATTAGAAGTGCAGATTCATGCATAGTTTCATGGATGCAATGTACACAATAGGTAGTGCACTGGATGTGAATTTGATTACAACTACAAACACAGGGCAAACGTGTTAATAAACTACAAACATGGCAGACAAATTAGAGTAATAGTTAAATGGAGAGGCTTCGGTAAAGATGGTTCTTAAATATTATCTAACCTTCTGGAATATATGTCTTTAACTTTTTCTGTGTTAATGTTTCATCTTTGCATACTCTCTCCTGTTATACACTCAAAAGTATGCCCTTTTTTGCACAAAACAAAGTATTATGTTATTCTCAGCAGCGAAAACCAACAACAATCATCAGTAATGCATGATTATCTGCTGTCAGGGCTTTGCAGTCAATAAAAGTGATTATAATAGAAGTCGATGGGGCAAAATGAGCACCAACATAACCAAAGGGGAGTCAATCTGAACAGCACACAAGCGTTAAGAACACCATCAGAACGCTATTACCTGTTGTTTGTGGTGTTGATTGTGTTCTAATCTCTCTCTCTGGTTATATCAGGGGTGGTGGAGTTGGTCTGGTGCTCGCTAGCGCAGGGTTCGGCATGCTAACAGCGCCGCTGATGGAGCTCCACAATCAGAAGGGTTTCTTCCTGCATCATGTCATCCTCACCTGCTGCACTCTGCTCTGCATCATTTGCATACCGTTGCTACCGGAGACCGCCGGCCAACCGCTGCCCGAGACTATGGCTGAGGGGGAGGGGCTTCTGCGCAGGCCCATCCTCCCCGGAGAGCAGCACCACCTATTGGCCAGAACGGAGGTCAGGGAGTACTCGCGTGTACAGGACACGCCCCTTCACCAAGTCGTCACCCCTGGCAACGGCATGGTGCCTAGCAACAGCACAGTCAATGGCATGAGGACTTCGTGACGGATTTTCTGAGATGATCTTGAACGAGTTTCATTCATGGTTTTTTTTTTTTGCGAATCAGCGGAAACGCTTCATTAACCAGCATCGGTAGAGATTTCACCATAGTACGAACTGAAAATGTGATCGCAACTTCTATTTTTTAAACAGCCACTAGTTTAATGTCGAGGAAGAACAAGTTCATTAAGGTGTCGCTGATTTGAATGTTTTTTGTATTTATTGGACAGATTGAGAACCGGCGGACATCCTATACAGCCAGATCAGTTGCAAAAATATAAACATTTACAAAAAAAAATTCAATTACAATTCACATTTACGAAATTGTATTCTCAAATTCAAAACCTAATTCGTAAATAAACAAGTACAGTTCATCAATGCAAAACACAACCCATAAATACGCAAAACCTAATTCATAAATTAATCAAAATATATAAATTTAAATAATTTAATTAAATATTTATAAAACATAAATTGTAAATACGCAAATCCAATTCGTGAATTCAAAACACAATCTGTAATTCTGCAAATCCCATTTGTGAATTCAAAACACGATTCGTTAATACGCAAATACAATTTGTAATAAAAAACACAATTCAAAAATATGCAAATCCAATTCGTAAATTCAAAACACAATATGTAAATAAGCAAATTCAATTTATAAATATGCAAATTCAATTTGTGAATTCACACAATTCGTAAATACGCAAATCCATTTCATTAATTCAAAATACAATTCGTAAATACGTAAATCCAATTCGTAAATATGCAAATCTAATTCGGAAACTCAAAGCACACTTCATAAATACACAAATCCAATTCGTAAATTCAAAATAATTCCTAAACACGCAAATCTAATTTGTAAATTCGTAAATATGCAATCCAATAAGTAAATTCAAAACAATTCGTAAATATGCAAATCCAATTCGTAATTTCAAAACACAGTTCGTAAATTAAAAAAATAATTTGTAAATTCAAAACAATTCGCAAAAATTTTGAACAATTCGTAAATACGCAAGTCCAATTCGTAAATTTAAAACAAACTGTAAATAAGCAAATCCAATTCGTAAATATGCAAATCCAATTTGTAAATTTAAATGAATTTGTAAATTCAAAACACAATTCGTAAATACGCTAATTCATTTCATAAATTCAAAACTCAATTCGTAAAAACACAACATAATTTGTAAATTCGCAACACAATTTGTAAATTAAAAATACAATTCGTAATTTCAAAACACACTTCAAAAACATGCTAATCCAATTTGTAAATTTAAAAAACTTCGGAAATATGCAAATCCAATTCGTAAAGTCAAAACACTATTTGTAAATATGCAAATCCAATTCATAAATTCAAAACACTATTTGTAAATATGCAAATCCAATTCATAAATTCAAAACACTATTTGTAAATATGCAAATCCAATTCTTAAATTTAAAACCCAATTCATAAACATAAAACACAACTCCTAAATTCAAAACACAATTCGTAAATTCGCAAATCCAATTCGTAAATTCAAAACACCATTCGTTAGTAAAAAAAATCCAATTTGTAAGTTCAAAACACACCTCATGAATACGCAAATCCAATTCCCAAATTCAAAATACAATTCGTAAATATGCAAGTCCAATTCGAATACACAATTTGTAAATACACAAAACAATTTGTAAATTCAGAATACAATTCATAAATTCAATTTATTTGGTGAAAAATATATTACGATTTTCACTTGTGAATACACTAATTGTGTTTCGAATTCACGAATTGTCTTTTGTAAATAAGTAAATGAGGCTTTTTTTGGCGAATGTGTTATATTTGAGACTGACCTAGCTGCATAGATATCATTCGTGCGCACAGATTGTACATTAAACGCTTTTCATTTGTAGAAGTGGATGTCATGGCTTATTTCCAGTCAGTGGTACGGTTCAGTACAATACAGTACACTATGATTTGGTGCACTGATCCGGCTTGCGTTTCCAATACTAATTGTTGCGAACTGTAAATATCCTTCCAAATGCCGCTTGCAGGTGAGTGAATGAGTCTTCGTATACATGAATATACAGCTGAAGTCCCAATTTCTGTTTAACGTAAGGAAGATTTTTTCAACACATTTCTAAACATCTCATAACTGATTTCTTGCCATGATGACAGCACATATTATTAGACTAGACATTCTTCAAGACACTAGTGTTCAGCTTAAAGTGACATTTAAAGGTTTAACTAGGTTAATTAGGGTAAAGTTAGGGTAATTAGGCAAGTCATCACTGTACTGAACCACACCGCTCAATGACTAAAAGCCAGAAATGTGAGTAAGTGAATGAACGTCCGCCGTTTTCATGTGCGCCTCAGTATGTTCAGGTTTTTTGAGTCTGTCTGTTTTGCACTAAAACTAGAAAAGCAATCACGAGACGGCCAGATGAATCTGAACTGAATGTCTAGACAGATGATGGCTGGAAAAAAAAAAATAATACAACAGCACAACTTTATGGTCTGCTCCTAACACACAGTCACAAACTCAACAACCAATCACAGCAGGAGAACAGTTGCCGGGCGGAAAACAGGACACATTTCACAATAAAATCTGAAGTTGTTAATAGTTTGGATGATGAAAATGAAGCCTTTTATTTATTATCAGACATTCTAGATGAATAATAAATGGAAATAAATAAAATAAAATTACTTCAGTGGAATTTTAATACCAATACTTATAAATGACATGGCATTTTGTGTAAAAAAAAAAAATGAAGAATTATTATAATAATAAGAGAGTTGATTTGAAAAAACGAAACAAATTAAGTGAAAATGATCAAATCAATTATTAAATACATTCTGGATGCTGTAAATATTGCATTATTTAAACACTGCATTAAATATTGATTTGGAAAACGGTAGAAAATGTCTTTAATTTTAATTTTATAAAAAGATAAATGTTGCTTAATAACAAGACATTCATGCCGACATGCCAAAAATCCAGAAAAACATTTAATAGCATTGATTAATTTCATAAAATACACAATTATGATCAGCTTTGACTTTTCAAAATACAAATGACTGCTGAATGAATGTTTTTTTTCCCCTCTACATTATTTTTTAGACGATTAAATTACCTCCTTCCAAAGAAATTATGATCAGTGCTGTAAAAAATGAAAATAAATGCTTTACTTGAAAGCATTCATAGAACTTTTGAGTAATATATGGCTCCATACATTTGGCAATTTCAAGGAAAACATCATTGCATAAATGAAGCGTTTGAGAATAATTGAGACTTTAAATAATCATAAAAATGATTAAAATTAGTAAATTCTAAATCATTACATTGGAAATAATAAAATGCATTTACATTAATTTCAAAAAACAGTGAGTGATGAACAGCAATTACAATCAGTGAGGATCATTAAACATAATTGTAAAATGTTTTTTTTTAATTTTAAAGAAAATAAAAAATGTGTTTAAAATTACTTAATAAATGAGAATAATTAAGACATTTAAATAATTAAAAAATTAATTCAGTTAAAAATAATTAAGTTGTAAATAATAAAATGCATTTAAATTAATGTCAGATCACATTGAGTGATGAAACAGCAATTACAATCATTGAGAATACATGAGACATTTAAATAATTGTACAAATAATTCAAACTAATGATGGAATCATAATTAATTAAATTGTAAGTAATTAAAAATGCATTTCAATTAATTTCAAATAATATTATGTGATGAATAATACAATTAATTAATAAAATAAAATAATAAAGAATGTTTAAAATAATTCTAAGTAAAACATCATTGTTTTAATTAAACATTAATTTCAATTAGTGAGATTAATGAAAACTAATTGTAAAAAAAAAACTAAGTAATAATTTTCAAGAATAAAAAATGTGTTAACAATTTTTTTAAATTGTAAAACAATAATTAATGCATTTAAATTAATTTCAAATAAAACTGTTTGATAAAATAGTAATTAAAATCAGGGGGAATTATACAAATCATGAATAAAATAATAAATAATGTGTTTAAAATAATTAGGCAAAACATCGTTTAATGAAATAGCAATAAAAAATTGATGAGAATTAAAATTGTTAAAAAAGAAAAAAATGTAAAGAATAAAAAAGTGTTTAAAATTTTTTTATTAGAATAATTGAGACATTTAAATAACTAAAAAATAAAATATTAATGTGTTAAAAATAATTTCAAGTAAAACATCATTGTTTAATGACAGTAATTAAAATAATTGAGAATAATAAAAAAATAAAATAAAAAAATATTAAATTGTAAATGATAAAAATGCATTTAAAATTATTTCACGTAAATCATCACTGTATTGAGGGAAATTTAATGACAATCATTGAGAATAGTCAAAATCAAAAACATCATATTTATAAATACGAGCTTCATTTTTTTTCATTCATTTATTTTCATCAGGGGTCGCCACAGCAGAATGAACCGCCAATTATTCCAGCATATGTTTTACACAGCGGATGCCCTTCCAGCTGCAACCCAGAACTGGGAACCACCCATACACACTCATCAATTCCCCTATAGCGCATGTGTTTGGACTGTGGGGGAAACCGGAGCACCCGGAGGAAACCCACACCAACAAAGGAAAAACATGCAAACTCCACACAGAAACACCAGCTGAGACTCAAACCAGTGATCTTCTTTCTTGCTGTGAGGCCACATTGCTAACCACTGAGCCACCATGCCGCTCACTTAGTTATTATTTAACTTTTGATTTTGCTGTGAAATGTGTTCAACACACACACACACACACACACACACACACACACACACACACACACATCATAAATATAAACAACTGGATTTAACATGGAGCTGGACCAGTAGAAGGGCTGCTGAGTGTTTTCATTGTAAATGTCTGGATTATTAATATTAATATTAACGTGTAGATTAGAAGTGGAGTAACTTGAACATCACAGATCTCCTGTTTGTCTGTTTGACCACTGAACAAGCAACCAAATGAAGAGGAACAAGCAGGACATCAATGAATATCTCTGAATATGAGTTTTGTCCTGATAACAGGAGTGAAAATGAGGATCAGGAGAAAACTGAAACAAGTCCACATGCGCTCGCCGCTCATCTTCATGCATTTACAAGAGCTCAAAGCACATTGCAAGGAAAAAAGCACATTTGGTGAATCTCCTAAGATCAGAAATATCCCTAGGTCATATTTTTAGTCTAAAAATCAACTAAATGATTAAAAAAAAGTCTATTTTTCTTAGAGAAAAGCCTATTTTTAGGACCAAAAATCTCCCATTTAATGTGAACAAAAAAACAAGCATTATTAAAATTGCCTAACACAACTGTAGGCATGCATCCCCCCCCCGGAAAATGATTTATTATACATGTAAAAGGAAAAGTATGGAGGATATAATTGCAATGCAATCTTAATTATGAAAACAAACTATTTTACAAATAAGCGATTGTGATTTTGGCATGAAACATGACCTGGACGTGCACTGACTGACAGATTCCCGCAGACACTCGGTGCGTTTGAGGAGAGAGGATCGCTTCAGTGTATTTCTCTGTATTTGACTCTCACGTGTCATTTTGGAGGATTAGGAGTATTTGAGACTTTCATACATGTTTACTGTCCATTTTAAGACATTGCACTTGTAAATA